CTGGCTGTGTGCAAGTGGGTCGATATGACACACGGGGGTGGGGGCAGCCGCCACTCAACCTACATCCACGTGGGCGGCCTTGTACGCAAGAGGTTTTGAACAAGGGGAGTTATAAGGAAGAAGATATAACAATTTTTTTATTTTTATTTTTTTCGCTTTTGCGCTCTCATATTCATGCGATGATATATATATATATACATAAGAAGAAGAAGAAGAAGAAGAAGAAGAAAAAGCAGAGGAAGAAAAAGAGATGGAGGGCGAGAACAGGAAGAAGAAGAAGATGTTGTTCTCCTCGCTATCTCACCTGCAGATAATTGTTGGCATGTACTAACCCGCCCGAGTCTCTCTGTGTTGCAGGTCGCTGGCGAGAAATCCAGATATGATGCCCAGGTAAGTACTCCACCGCTGCAAGTATGGCCACCGTCTCTCTCCCTACCTACACCTCTACCTTTACCGCAGCGCTGCAGAGCACAGCTCCAAAGGCGTGTCGCCCAAGAAGTGAGCTACTCAAATTGTGTCTGCCCAGGAGCTGGCCCAACTATAAATAGTGTCGGACCTGGGTGTTGTGCCCACGACCTTTGTTCCGGGCCACGAGATCGTCGGTCTGATCCACGGTCCAAATCGCAGGAAAAATTCATGCTCCTGGGCCTGACCTAAAAAAGGTCTGTCTGGGTCTCTACCGGACACCCAGGCCCTCCCTGCTGATACAGTAGGGAATGTCCGCTACTGGACAAAACCGAACCTGGCCCGAAAGGGCCTAGCCACGACTGGAGAAGGCCCAAAATGTGGCCTTTGTCGGTCTGTTCAAACGTACTGCAAGTCTGAAACGATGCTTGAATCACCGCTTATACACCGAGTTTCGCCCTTCACTAACCATTTTTTGTTTTCACAATTTCATACTTTGCTCAACGCTTTATGAGGCCCAGTAGAAGAGGGCAATTCATAGATAGCATCCACAATCATTTCAATGACTTGGCTAATGATGTATCTTTCTTCCAAAC